GACCGCGTTGGGTGGGGGTGGGCGGAAAAGGGCGACGCAAGGTGGAAAAGAAGTTGCAGCGAAATAAATTATGCAAAATACTTTCCTTCGTTGGAATATGAAATCGTGCCGTGGAGTTCTCGTCACACGAGGCGAAAGAATTTACTTTGCGACGGTGAATCGGGATTTGTATAAAAAAAAAATAAATTCGATAGTGTCCCCGTCTGATATTGACAAATCGAGTTATCAACCGGCACGGGAACGTGAAAGATCGGTCGTATATCATGTAGCAGGTTACTACTTGTTCGAGGTTCGTTTTATTTACTTACTACTTCCTGTATATCTTGTATTTTATCCTGTAAATTATATTTAAAAAATTTTATTTCGTGTATATCGATAAATAAAAGAAATAAAAAATAAAATAAAAAGGACGAAAGAGGCAAAATTATAAGAAAATATTAGAGATATTGAAAATTAAAATAAATTAAAGAGATGCATGGTTACTATTCGTTAATTGAATTAGAGAAAGACTAACTTTCACAAAATATTATATATAGTTTGAAACGAGTTCATCGAGGTTTTGTAGTATTCTTTAGCCTGTCAGAACTTTTGAATACCACGGTGTGAGACAGAACTTTTATTTACTTTTGACGGGCGGAGGGTGAAGTTCCAGATTCCATCCCCGCCTCTTTCGATCGGCCGAGAAAATAAAACCTATTCGTCATCATACGTGTCATGATTTCCGTGGAGAGTTTCAATAAATGTTACTAAAGATATATTGTACTTTTTTTTCTTCTTTTCTTTTCTTTTTTTCATCGTACGATGCGTGCTTCCATTTAAACTTTATGAGCTTTGTAGAAACTCGGAATCGTAATTAAAACGTAACCTCGTAAAGATGGGAAATAATGTAACCATTTATAAAAGATAAAGACGTAAAATTATTGTTACGATAAATTACTGAAAACAAAAATAATGAATTATTATAAATTATCGAACATAAATTAAATCATTAAAAAATTTAAATGGATTTGGATTATTATGATAAAACTTATCTTATTAAATTCAGATTTGAATAAATTGAAATTATGAATAATACGAACAAAAACTTTCATATTATTTTTATCTTGTATGTATATTCCATTTTGTTCTGCAATTTGAAAGAATTGAAATAAAGTAAATACGACATTTATTTATGAATAAACTAGATCTAATAAAATGAAAAGAAACGACATACACAATGGGGGCGGGAAACATTTCAACGAAGAGTTACGTTCTCGTGTAACAGGGACTGATGGGAGAACGGTCAATCACAGGGAATATAAACGGATTACATGCCTCGAATGCATTTCTTTCATCTATTCTCACACTCCTTCCTCCTGGTTCTCTCCACCTGAAATAGAAATAACTGGTTAGAAATAAGGTTATTTGGGTGGATAATAATTAACACAAAACGATTATTCACTTTTTGAATAAATCACAATTTTCTGACAATTGTTAAAACGAATCTTTGGTATACAATACGATTGTATAATCTCATAATTGTTCGTTTGAATTTTTTTTTTTATTTTTTTCAAAAATACGTCATTGCGAGAAAAACTCTATATATATAATTTTCAAAAGAATATGTTAAAATCTTAAAATAAATTCATCTTTTGATTTTCTAAATTAATAAATATTGTATAAATTATAATAAATATAATAAATATAATAAATTTTGTTTTTTTATGTTCTAGCAACAATATTTTATATTTATTTGATAATTTTATTCAGAAAATATATTGGAAATTGTTATTTCTTTTTTTAAAAAATTATTAAAAAAATATTATAATTATAAACAATAAGAACTTGCTTTATCCATTTGATTATTTTATAATTATGATTTTTTTATTCTTTCTTTTATCTCAATTTTATATAGTTCAATTTCTATCTCTTTATTCATTCTGACGTAAAACAAATTTTAAAGTCAACCAAACTTTTTTTTTATACAGTGAAAAAAAATTTCTCTCTTTCTGTTTCCCAGCATTTTCGTTGATATTTTTCTCTTTCCTTTTATTTTTATTTCCTGCTGATGCAATTTATTTATTAAAATATTTAAAATACAAATTAAATTAATCGCAAAATTCATAGAGAAACAAGTATTTCTACAGGACCATGGCGTTCTAGTATCGATCGCGTGTTTTTATCTAATTCTTGTTTCCGTTCTGGCGGTTTCCGTTTCGAAATTCTTTTCAAATTTTCCATCGTTTCGCGAGCAAACAAATTTTCTGACAAAGATGAATTGTTTTTGCGTGTTTATTACTGCAATTGCAGAAATACAAGCGTGGTCTTCAATCTTGTTCCGCCCTTCCCTTCCCCATCTTTGTTTCACATTTTATATTATTTCGTTCCATTCGTTTCCGGTTTTATTATTTCTGTATTATACACAGGATGAATAAATGCATCAAAACGCGTTATTGTCATTGCTAATAATTTACGATGCGCTCAATCGAGCGTTACAATAAAATTATTAACGTTACATTAATAATCGTTATCGCGCTCCGCTAGACGTTTCATAAATTTTTTAATTTAATATTTCTATCCATAGCATCGATTATTACTCTTCTCTATTTCTTTTATTCTACATCTCTCCCACGTTCTTTTATTTCATGTCATATTTCCAATCCATGGCATTGATTATTCCTCTTTTTTTATTCTATCTATAATAATTTTTTAAAAATTATTGTTAAGGAAGAAAAACATAAGATCGTTAAACGAAAAAAAAAGAAAGAAAAAAGAAAGGAAAAATAAAAAATATCGAATTGATTTATTTCGAAGATTATCGCTGTTAAACAATTAACGGTCCTTCCTCGACTCGGTCGGTACTTTCGTTCGAAAGAAGAAATTGTCCCGAGGATAAAAATACGCTTGACATGGCACCGAGAAAATATTGCGGTATATGAAACGGAGACACTTTATCGCTACGATATATATCATTCTATTCACTTACTCGTGTGTTGCCTTTCAGAATGATAGTAAAGGAGAATATCGTATAGGGAGCGAGGAATCCGCACTATGAGATTTTTCGAATGAAATAAAAACCGGCCTGTTTTATAAATGACCGGACACGCGAGCATTCTCAAGGGGCTCGAGCAAAAATGTACAAGCTGAAAAGTGTGGTAGGGATTTTTACTATACCGATGAAACGGTAGTAATTTTACAGCTTGAAACGTAGCGAGCAATGCGATAAAATGTATATTCTAAAAACGTTATTCCGTCTTGGAAATTAGACTCTTTGGAAATGCAAATTTAATTTGCGAGCTTGCAATAGAAAGCATTGTGTACAACTTAAACGTTGTTAAACTTTCTCTTTGGACAAAAACTTCTTTGTGTGTATACGTGTACTCGCGTAAATTAGTAAAAAGTTAAAAAAGAGTTACGAGGTTGTCGTTTACTCATACTTCTACTCGTTTTTATAAAAATACAACCGGGATTGTGGTAATATTAGCTTTGGAGGTTAATATTACAAGCCATAATTTCAATCTTATCGGTTTCCGATACGCGGCTGGTATGGAAATGTTGAAAAGTACATTGTAGCAAAATCACAGTGCAATATAATGTCCATCGTATCACAAAGTACACAAATACGACCCGGTACACAGGACAAAGTGAAATAATATATGGAATGCAAGTCGGATTACATTTGCATCTGTCATCCGAATATCTCCGTCCTCTCCATATATGTAGATGATGTTGTCACGATTCATCGGAAATTTGCCGTCAATCTGATTACAAATTTCAAACCAGTATTGAATTCCGTTCGATCCTGGTGTCATATTTGTGTGACAGTGCCAAGCAAGCATTGACCATTCGGTCTCTGTAGATTGGTGTATATATACACATGCGGTATAGCCCTACCCCCACTCCTCGTCATTGCTCTACAGTGTGTTCAACCTCACGTCTGGCCGGAGAAAAATTTCCTCCCTACCTAGTCGGTTGCAACTGAAATTGTTGCTGATGCTTTTTCATGGAGGATAACTCGACGAATGTCTTCACGACGATCGTAAAAATAACTTTATCGCGAATACAAGAGTCTATTTAATGTTGGACGAGTGTAATCCTATTCGTGAAACGCCGTCTGTATACGTATCGTTCGTGTGCACATACGAAACTGAATTCTCCGCACGCGCACTTGAATAGTGTATCATATAAATACACGCGCGCGTATAGAAATGGAGTGGGGATACAAGGGAGGGGACAGAGAGAGAGAGAAGGAGAAGGGAGAGAGAACGTTTACATGAACACGCGTAAACGTATGCACTCAGAGATGCTAGCGTATGCGTGTAGATGTAGCTGCATACGGTACACATTACGAGGAGTATCCATGGAGTGGAGATCGTTCTCTTCGCGTTGCCATTCCCCACTCTTCAGTGTAACCTCTTCCACTGCTTGCTCCCGCCTTATTTATCACAGTAATTCTCAATAAACTACTCGCTTCCCTTGTCTCTTGCTTACTCATGAAGTAATAAAGTGAATTTACTCCAATCTACAACCTCTTTCATCGAATAGTTCTCGTTTTATATCGTTGCATTCGATGTGTTTTTCTCTGTTTTTGGTTTCCCTTTTCCTTTGTCAATTTATTTTTTTTTAAATACTTTTTATCTTTTTTTTTTCGTTTTTTTCATTGTTTATTCGTCGAGCATTGTAAACCGATCGAAATGTTGTTTTGTTTGTAACTTCGATATCCGAAAACTTCAAATTTATTGGAAATTTTACAAGTTTGTTAATTTCTGAAAAGAATTGTCGAGTTAAATTTTTTTTTTTTTTTAATATAATTCAGTTTCTTAGGTTCGATAATTTATTTCACTATTTCTTTATGAATTTGAAAATTATAAATAGAGAAAAATTATTAAAGAAAAATTTAACGATTAGTTTTTTTTTATTTAAACAAAAAAGTTTGAATAATTCATTGCAAAGAATATAAAAAGCAATAAATCGATATTCTAATAATTTTTTATATTTACTAGTATTATACAGAAAGAATCATTTAATTTAATCATCTAAATTTACTTTTAAATTATACAATTGTTATTTATGATATTTTCGTGTGCAATAAATATTTTACAAGTAAATTCAAATGACAGAGTTAAATTACTTACCGTGTATAACTTTCAAAATGTATTATGGGAAATAGGAAAATACATGGTAATTTTTAAGAAACGTATTCAAAGTTTTCAAATAAATCAGAGTTTTTGGAGTATCGAAGTTTCGTTCGAGTATAAGTTTATGAACACTGAATATTGTGAAACTTTTTATATGACTAGGGAGAAGCAACAATCTTGATTTTTATAAAATAGAAATTGTTTCAGTATTTTCATTTTGGCTTATTGATATCAATTGTTTCATTTTTGATATTTTTTTCATTAATAAATATTTTTACAATGAATAATATAAGTTAATTTGATAAGCTGACTCGTTAACAGATATAAACTAATTAGGCAATAAATATAAACTCGGCAATAATGTCAGTCGTAACAGTTTTGCCAAGTAATCTCCGTGAACGTAGTCGTTAATTTTTACGATCGAATATCTCACTGTACAATGTATATGAGTTAATGATATTTATATAAAATTGTTGTATTTCTTTCATTTTTTGTTTTTATCATAATATAAATAAAACGAACTAAATAAAACGAATAAAGTTGTATGAAAAATAGAAAAAAAGAACAAACCTATCCAATAATTCGATAAATTTCGTATTCATTGGAGGAAGAATGAATCATTCACATTGGAAGATTCTTCTGATGTTATTCAGCCTTCGTGATTTTCACTAAAAGAAAAAAAAAAGATGATAGTAAAACGAGTAGATATTTTAAGTTGTAATAGTTCTAAATACATTGAATTACAAATGTCGATTATTTGCGTTCGTATTGTCAGTGGGCTGATATTTCGTTTTCGAGGGATTGTCATGTACAATACATCAATATGGATGAGGAAATGATCTGTTGTTGGTGAATCATAAATTATATATCCATAAGGTTAAATGATGAGGACGACTGAAGTAATAAGAACTTGCACAGGAACACAGGACACTAAAATCAAATAATTTATTATAAATAAAAATGAATTATAGGCAAGACAAACAAAATTATAATTTAACACAAAATGCACAATATAGCAATGCTTTAAGTAGAACGAGTTAAAGAAATTAACCTAACCTTCGAGAATGGAATATTGATGTATACAATGAGACACAAACAATTATTTTCAATAAAAAACTCATTTATGCGGTTAAACATATTTCGAAAATACAATTTTAATAGTTTAAACTTAGATTTTAAAACTTTCTTGTATAATGATTTAGTAATCAATAATATTAATAAATTCACGTATTATGAGTTATAGGTTATGAACTTCACTTTTAGAATTTTATATGAAATAAGATAATCAGATCACTAAAATTTTATTAATAAAATTTCATTTTCACCTTATTATCAAATATTACACAAGAAAATTTATTAATATCAATCACAATCTAATAATAATAATCACTAATAATATTAGTTCAATCATACAAGACGTCACTGTAAATTTTTTCCGTTACAGCCTTGTTTTCTTTGAATCGTTTACTCGTTTCTGATTACTTGAAAAATTTGTTCAGATTTTAATTTTAATTTTCATATATCGTAACACACGAATCTATGATATAGAGGGTTAACGATAATCTTCTTCCACGAACGATCTCGGATTATCACAAAGCGATGTGAAGAGGAAAATGAAAGCGTCGAAGGCCCTTTAAATTTTCATTATCGATATTCGATAACGGAGTGTACTGTGATACGTGACTATCCAGATAATTCCATCGTTTAAAATTCTTTCTCTAACGAATAATTAATTACACTATCGATATTATTATTCGAATTCAAAATAGTAAATAATGTTATTTGCGTTTAAATTTGAAATAGCTCGACAAAAATAAATAAAGGTTTTAGCATTTTTATTTGAAAATTATCGAACTTCTGCCATGTTTGAAACGTACAATGTTTTTCTAACTTTTAAAATTATTCTTTCGTGCCGCAATTCTAACATACATATACACATCTGAACTTTTAAAATTTTTAATATTTTCAACGTATAACAGGTTAAATGGATATCATTTCCGCTCAGTTGAATTTCAATTTAAATCTCTTTGTTATTTTACAGTACCACTTTCTGTTTGTAAAAAACGAAAATAATATTTCATT